GGGAAGGCTACCAGGGGGTCACAGAAAGCAATGATTTCAAAGGTGCTTGTGTTTGTTTGAATTAATCCAGGTGGCCGTGTTTAAGAATGTTTGATTCATTCACTCTGCACTTTTACTAGCGTGGCGATGGTGGAATTTCAGTTGGAAAGACTGGCCTGTGTTCTGCAAGTGATGAAGGAAGAGATTTAAGCAGAGAAACCAGTTTGTGTGTGAAAAACAAGCACAACAAAGGTTAAAGTAGAAGAAATCTATTTTATCATTGAAAGGGCTGTCATCTTTTTATTCATTTGTTTTCCTTGTCCCCCACTGTAGTCTGTTGTTTCATGTCATGTGGTGATATCAATATGCTGAATAAACCTTGTTAAAGCTCAGTGTCATACCGAGGCTCCTGTTCAGAAAAATTCCTTCAAAGCTATGTCAAGCTGCGCCCACGTATAGCAAATTGTATAATATTTATACATTGAGGTGTGCCACCTACATGTATAGCCTTCATATCCAAAGCCTCCTCACATATAATCCCAATACCCTTGCTGATCAGCTGTCTGCCCGACACTGCCAGTATAATTGGCACAGCGGTGCCATTTTCTCCCACTTGTATGTTTCTCATTCCCAAATCACTGTCTTGCCATAGCTCCAGCCTGATTTCCTGTCTTTCCTGAAGGTGGTTAGCACTGCTGCCTCACAGTGCCACAGACCTGGTTTCTATTCCAGGCTTGGACGACTGCCTGTGTGGACTTTGCATTTTCTCCCTGTGTCTGCGTGGCTTTCCTCCGGGTGCTCCGGTTTCCTCCCACAGTCCAGGGATGTGTCACTGAGGTGGATTGGCCACATGCTGAATTGCCCAGTGGTGTCCAGGGATGTGCAGGTTAGGTGGGTCAGCCACAGTAAATACCCATGTGGGGTGTTATGGGGTGGGCCTGTGTGGGATGTTCTTTGGAGGGTCAGTGCAGACTTGATGGGCCAGATGGCCTCTTTTTGTTTTGATTCTATGATTCTTCTTCATGCTGTAAATGGCATTAGGCCTCTTATTACCTTTCTGAGAATTATTTGCATGTGAATCTTGATACAAAATTTAATGATCATATCAATTGATATCAGGACCCAGGCTGCCCTCACCCATTGCTTAGTAGGGACCTCCTGAATATCTCCTGCCCAGTCTCTCTGTTGTGGACTCCAATTATTGATGCCCTTGTTTTTATGTATTGCTTTATTGTATCAGAAGCCCTTTGCAGTTTAACTTTGAGGTGCAGTGTTTCTTATAAAGGGCAGCAACAATGCACTGCCATCAATGAGATAAAGGACAGCAGTTCTTCATTCTTGGATTTGTTGGTTGGGGAAACAGTGATGGTCACATCACCACTTCCAGGTTGTTACCTTCAATAGCATGATGGTCAGGATTGATGGTGTTTTGACAACAAACGCTCAGAATTTGCAGTTGTTACTGCTCTGAAACTCGGAACAACTTCAGCTACTTTGGATACTGGAAATTGGAAACACAAACAGAAAATGCTCATCAAATCACGGAATTGTTATGATGCAGTAAAAGGCCATTCATCCCATCATGTTTGCACCAGTTCTGCAGTGAGCATTATGATTTAGTGCCTTTTCCCCAAACCCTGGCGCATTCTTTCCTTTCAAATAACTATCTAATGCACTCCTGAATGTTTCGATTGACCCTGTCTCCACCATCGTGCCAGGCAGTGCATTCCAGTTTCCAACCACTCATTGTGTCGGAAATACTAAGCAGGTTGTGTACACCTGTGGAGAGAGAAACAGGGTTAACACATTAGGTGGATGACTAATCATCTGAACTGTTCTGAGCCTACGGTGAGCCACTTCCTGGGTGTTGTGGTGTAGCGATTATCCTCCCGGTTTGGAATTCCAGAGACATGGCCTGATCGTGCAAATAACTTAAGGTTAAATCCTACTATCGCAGTTTGAGAGCTTTAGTTTATTTAAAAACATCTGCAAACTGTAAGTCAAGAGATGGCGTCAGTTTGCAAAGTGACTGTGAGGTTTACTGGTTCACGAATACCTATTCAGGGAGGAAACCTGCCTTCCACACCTATCCAATAAGTGAGTCTAGTGTAACCACAGTAATGACCCTCTTGCAAAGTATCCAGTTATACCAAATTACTACCAAGCGATCCAAAAAGACAGCTCACCATTATCATATTAGGCCATGTACGAATGGGGAATAAATGGCAGACTTGTGTAAGAGGCCAACAACCTGAAAATCTGGCAATATCCAATGACTCAGGTCAAGTAAAGGATTCCTGAGTAAGAGTCTTCTTGGGAAAAGTGACCAGTACATTGTAGAATTTAAGAGTGAGAAATGTAGGTCAGAAATAGCAATGCTAAACCTAAATAAGGGTAATTACGTAAGAATGAGGGCTGCAATGGTTGGAGTGGACTGGGAACGAGGTTTAGCAGAAAAGACGGTCGATGAGCAATAGCAGATGTTAAAGAAATAGCTTTATGACTCACATCATAGATATAGCCCAGTGAGGAAGAAGGATACTAGGAAGAGGATAATCCAGCTATGGTTAACCAAGGAAGTTTAGGATAGTATAAAATTGAAAGAAAAAACATACAATGTGGCAAAGATTAGTGGTAAGCCAGAGGATTGAGAAGGTTTTAAAAACCAACAAAAGATGACCAAAAAATAATAAAGAAGGAAAAAATAAACTATATGGCTAAACCAGCAAGTAATATTTTAAAGAAGACAAAAGGGTTTCTTTAAATATTTAAAAATGAAAAAGGGGACCAAAGTGAATATATGGCCCTTATTGAATGAGGCTGGGAAAATAATTATGGGGAACCAGGAAATGGCAGACGAGTTAACAAAATACTTTAGTCTCAGAGCACATTAATAATATTCCAAAAATAATATACATTCACTGGGTCCAAGAAGGGCAGGATATAAACATAATAATTGTCACTAGAGAAAAGGTACGAGGGAAACTAATGGGGCTAAAATCTGGAAAGTCTCCTGGTCCCAATGGGTCGATTCCTAAGATTTTAAAGGAAGTGGCCACAGAGATAGTGGACGTACTGGTAGTAATCCTAAAAGAACCCTTAGATTTGGGAAAAGTCCCAGAGGATTTGACTTGGTGGGTCAAATGCCCTCTTTCCACTCTGTAGGGATTCTATTCTATCGATTAGAAAACTGCCAGTATAAAACCCAATTCAAAAAGGAAAGGAGGCAAAATCCACAAGCCCAATAGCTCAACGTGTATCATTGGGAAAATTTTGGAGGCTATTAGAAAGGTTGTAATAGCTTAGCAGTTAGAAACGCAAAATGAAATCACACAGAGTCGGCATGGCTTTATTGAAGAGGAAATCATGCTAAACAAATTTATTAGAGTTCTTTGAGGAGGTAACAAACATGATAGATAAAGGGGACCCAGTAGATAGATATAGATGGATTTCTAAAAAAGTACTGCAAGTAATAACTAATAAAAGAGCCTATGGTTTTCGGGGTAGTGTATTACTATGAATAGAGGATTGGCTGACGAATAAAAGACAGAGAGCTGGGAAAAAGGGGGCATTTTCAGGACGGCAAATTGTAATTAGCAGAATGCCTCAAGGGTCAGTGCTGGGGTCATAATTAATTAAAATATATGTTAATAACTTGGATGACAGAATTGAATGATCTATCACCAAGTTTGCAGACGTCAGAAAAATAGGTGGGACGGCAAATAGTGAGTCCGACACAGAGTCTACAGAGGGATTTAGACAAGTTAAGTGAGTGGGCAAAACTTGGTGGATGGAACATAATGTGGGGAAATGTGAGGTTATGCACTTTGCCAGGGAAGAACAGAGGAGCTGAATATTATTTAAATGGGGGAAGACTATAGAAAGCTGCAACAGAGAGTGATTTGGGAGTCCTTGTGCATGAATCACAAAAAGCTAGCATTCAGTTTCAGCAGGTAATAGGGAAGCAAATGGACTGTTGGCCTTTATTTCAAAGCGACCGGAGTATAAAAATAGGGAGATCTCGTTAAAGCTATACCAAGCCATTAATCAATCCACAACTGGAAGACTGTGAGCAGTTTTAGTCCCGTTATCTAAGGAAACATATAGTGGTACTGGAGGCAGTCGGGTGAAGGTTTACCTGCTGGTACCAGGTATGGAGGGATTTTCTTGTGAGGAGAGGTTGGGTAGGCTGGGCTTGTACTTTTTTAGAGTTTAGAAGAATGAGAGTAAACCTTAGTGAAACAAGTAAGATTCTTAGGGGACTAGATGTAGAGAGATTGCTTCCTATTGTGAGGGAATCTAGGACCAAGAGGCATAATCTCAGACTAAGGGATCACCCATTTACGACAGGGATGAGCAGGAATTTCCTTTATCAGGGGGCAGTGAATGTGTAGAGTTATTTATCACAGAGGCCTGTTGAGGCCAGTTCATTAAGTATATTCAAGGCTGAGACAGATAGATTTTTAATTAGAAAGGGTATCAAGGATCATAAGGAAAAGGCAGGAAGGTGGAGCTGAGGATCGTCAGATCAGCCATGACCTCATTGAGTGGTCGCTGAGACCCAGTGGGGTGAATGGCCTAGTTCTGTTCCTACATCTTATATCTCCCAGATTTTGGAAATCTCGATTTTGTGCAAGTTAAAGGACGGAATGTCTGAAGTCATGGTATAGGCTAAATCTGTACACAGACACAAATGGGGAGTCATTATGATGTCTTATATCTTGTAAATGGTATGTTGCACCTATTTACAGGCCTCGCTACCACAGGCAGTGCCTGTCATTCAGTGGCTTTTATTTCTCACACACTCTTCCCATGTAAACGTAACATAATAACACACCTGGGTCAACTTCCTGAGGGGCCAGGCCTGCAACATAAGAACAATTAGACTCATGGATTTAAAGCAGTTGGTGTGTGTTGCTAAGGATGCACCTTTGACAAGTGAGAATAGTGACCGGGGTTGGGGGTTGGGGGAGCTGTATTTCAGAGGATTAACACATTTCAATGTCCTTGTCTTTCCACAGAGTAAATCAGTCTCTCCCTCTGACAGCGTGCGAGCTGAAGACAAGCACAGAGGCTCCCTCGACTACAGTACGACTGATGGCAAGAAGAGGAAGTGTGATGACAAAGACTCGGTGGGACATTATGTATGTTAAAAGAGTTTGTAACATATCACCAGCTTAATAGTTAAGCAGCAACGTGAGCAGGCAACTTGAATTTGAATCTAATCTCATGTGTAGCGCTCTGGATGTCAGGTTTGATGACTCTTGAACAAAAATACTCAGTTTCTTTCCCCATTAGCCCCCAGAGATACTAGCAGGCTTCCTGTGGTATTGTTTGTCGACAATCAGAGCATATGGTGATTTTTAACAGGAGAGGCCTTGTCAGCAAAGTGCAACGGTGAAAATGAAAACTAGAACAGAGGTTGTCACTTAACAGGAATGTGCATGTTACATGCAAAATTTTTAAGTGCTAGATGTTCCAGGGTTTTACTGTTGGCCAGTCAGAGGGTGTACTGTTTGATATCAATAGAGTTATCATTGGCATAGGGTGATCAGAGAAAAATTACAGGAAAAATGCAGTATACTTCCAGGTAATGTAGACTATACATCCTTCAATGTATTATCGATTGATATAGGGATGCTTGCTATAGACTCTTTAGATCCCAAAGGTTGAGGTTCAAGTCCCACTCCAAGATTTGGACGCAGAATTCCAGGCTGACGATTCAGTACTGAGGGGGTGCTGCAATGTTGGAGGTTCCGGCTTTCAGAAGAAGCATTAAACTGAGCCCTTCACACCTTCCCACATCCCTGCCATTTGCCTGCTCAGATGGCTATAAAAGATCACGTCAGCATTTCAAAGAAATTTATTGTTGTCCTTCCCAGGATTCGAGTCAATATTGATCCCTCAGTTCACACAGAAAAGCAGATCATCTGATTCATCATCACACTGATGTTTGTGAGGTTGTGTGGAGTACAAATTAGCTACTGCATTTCTTACATTACAGCAGTGAGTAGACATCAAAGAGTATTGCATTGACAATAAAGTGCTATATAATGCAAATCTTTCTATCTATAGCTGAAAACCAAAGCAACTGATGAGCACATCATTATTAATCCAGAGCTGGGTTCAAATCCCACAATGGTGGAATTTGAGTTCAATGAAAAAAATCTGCAGTTAAGGGTCTAATGATGACCATAAAACCATTATTGTTAGGGAAAAGAAAGCATCTGGTTCATTAATGCCCTTCAGGGAAGGAAACTGCCATCCTTCTCTGGTCTGGCCTACATGTGACTCCAGACCCACAGCAATGTGGTTGATTCTTAACTGCTGTTTGTGCAATTAGGGATGAGCAATAAATGAACACCCACATCCAATGAATGAATAAAATTTGCTAACGTATGACTTTAGAGTGCTGCTCAAGTGGCCACCTGTTTCTGTACAGTTGAGAGAGAGTCGGTCTGATGTCTCAAACTGCTCCAACTAATTTTATATTGGATAGACAAGTTTGGAAAGCCCAAGATTTGAAAATGTGAGGCCATGACTTCTGGTTTTATATTTGTAGATCTGCATTTTGTATCTAATTCCCCAAACCTAAGGTCCAGATTAGAGCCTGAGACCTGTAAGTCTCCTGTTGACAGGATTTCTGTGTCATATAATAGTGTCTGAAATGTTGCCTGTGAAACCCAAGAATCTGGTAGAATGCTCTTTCTGGAATGTCCTGTTGGCAGATTAAGAATTTTTGACACAAAGTAGACAAATAAAGGATGGCAGACTTGAAGCTGTATGTTTGTTGTTTTGCTGCTTATGTCTTGTAGAAACATTTTGAAGTGTGATGCGTGGATCTAATTCCCTTGAAGCATCGGCTTGTCAGCAGAAAGGAAATGACATGGCTGTAATTTATGTGGCCTTCTCTGTTTTAAGGATTGGGATTGCTTTTCACACCAAGGTCAGGTGTAGTAAAAATGACTGCAGAGGATAGCTCTCTTAGAACTGTAGCCCAACCCTAACTGTCAATGGTTTCTAATTACCTCACTGAGCATTCTGAACTTCAACAGCTGCGTTGAGCCTCAAAGCACATTTGATATCTGACCCTTTCCAAACAGCACTCGACGTGAACTCTGATCTCCTTGGGCTTCATTCATACTCGATTCCTAAAGGTGAAAGATCCACTTCAAACCAGGTGCACTGCCCTATCCTGTGGTTGTGCTAAGGTAGTTCCATTGTGGCCGCTGTGGTACAAGAAGGCTGCCTCTTTTTTGGCCATATCTAGTAGGATTGTAAATCCAATCTTTCAGAATGCTTTGAATGTTTCGGTCAGACCATGCCACATGAAAAGTCTTGACATCAGTTTATCACGCCACTGATGTATAATGACTAGAGAGACATTTCCATGCTGAACATCACTCATTGTCATACCACAATTAATATTGGGTAAGGTAACAGTAGTTACTTTAAGTGAATTAGTAATCCAAAGGTTTTACTAGAGAATATGGGCTCAAACTCTCACCTTCGCAACCTGTGACTTCAAATTCAATTATGAATAAATCTAAAATGGAAAAAACCCTCTTTGAGAAACAATGACCATGAAGTCATTGGACTGTTATAAAAACCTAACTGAATCTCTAATATCCTATAGTACAGCAAATATACCCTCGTTGTTTGGCCTATGTGACTCCCAACCCACAGCAATGACATTTATTGCTATGTGTCCTCCAAAGTTGCCTAGTTAGGCTCACATTATGGTGCACTTGTATGAGCCAAAAGCTACACGTATTAATACATAGCGCCCTTTTCTTTGTAGAGAGAAGGAACATACTGTACCTGCTCCGACTGAACAAAGAGGCGACCTCCATTCTCTGGTTCATTAGTCAGGGCAATACCTTGACCAGTCAGAGTCAACTGTCCAGTTTAATATTAAACAAAACTTGGTAGTTAACTGTCAGTCATTATATAACTGGTGCATTCCCCATGACAAAACTTCTATCTATCAGCGTCCATTGCCAACCAATAAGTACACTCTTGTAATACATTATAAAAGTATTACTCCACTTTATATTGGTATTTCTTGAAAATTGTCCTGATGAGTGAAAGATTAAAAGCTTCAGCAAAATGTGCCCTTTTTCACCAATATTCAAATTGAATATACATTCCACCAGCTACTCTAATTGGGTTTGAACCCATGCATTAGCCTGATGCTGTGGATTACTAACCCTGTGGCAATACCACTACATCATATCTCTCTATATAATAACCTTTATCAATGTGATATAAATCACCCCTAAGGGCATCTCAAAGTGCTTTAAAGACAATAAAATACGAAGTGTAGTCACTGTTGTTTTGTTGGAAACACAGCTACCAATTTGCAAACAGCAAGATGCCATAAAAAGCAAAGTGACAATGCACAGTGAGCAGCTTTTTTTGGGATATTTATGACTATGAAAAGAAAACAGCTTTTTTGGGATATTTTCTGAGGGATAAGTGTTGGCTTAGACCACAGAGGTAACTCCCCTTGTGCATTGTTGTAATAATGCCACAGAATCTTTTCCATCCACCTCAGACAGCAAATATGCCAAATTATGTTTTCAAATTCCCATGAGAATTTTGTTAGAGCTAACAGCATATAATCATTTCTTGCAAAATTGGATGGATCACAGCTTTTGTTTGTCACTACGGTTTCATAAATTTAGTTCGAAACGGATGCTGGAGAAAGGGAAAATGTTGCGGTGATACAGATTGTTTCTTCAAAAAAAATTTCCTCTTGTATCAATGGACATTGGGTTTTAAAGGAAAATCATCAGTCTGAAAACACTGCGCAAAGATAAAGCTTCTTAACCTCATTTCCTGCTTGCTCGCTCATACAATTGAGACTCCCATTGTTCAGCCCTTGGGCCTAACCAAACGGTCAGCCTGCCTCCTGTGTGCTTACTGTATGGCTGTGCCTCAATCTCTCAAGGTTTTTTAAGTGTTTCCCAGGACCTTCAGATAATGGGGTGTTGGGGGTCCCATTGTGCTTCACTCACTCTAACAACAAAGCTTATAACAGCCTGTTGAAAAGGGCTGTGTGAATTAATTGGTTTGCCCTGATGTTGCTACATCATATTGTGCATTTACTACCAGCAGTCCTCAACTATTAATTCAAGGTTTTTCCTCTCTTTTTGAGTTACAAGTGGATTTGAACAGCTAACCCATCAGGGCTGCGATTTAAAATGCCTTCTCTTTTGATCTGACAACCATACACTGACTCTCTTCCCTCCTTTCCCCATATTCTGGGTCAGTCTGTGCCAAAGTGGCTGACACATGGCACTACACTGACCCAGGCAGGGAGGTGGGCCAAGTGGAGAGATGACGGGATAGTAAAATCCAGTGTACATTATTATCACAATCGTATAAGTTGCTCCCACACAAGGGTTTAAAATAAGACAAAAATCCCATCAGAATGATGTATTGTTCTGTTTTCTATGATGGTATTTTGAATTGGTGATTAGAATTTATTGCAGGGGTGTCATAGAGATGTACAGCACAGAAACAGACCCTTCTGCCCAATTCATCCATGCTGACCAGATATTTTAATCTAGTCGCATTTGCCAGCATTTGGCCCATATCCCTCTAAACTGTTCCTATTCATATACCCATCTAGATGCTTTTCAAATGTAATTGTACCAACCTCCACAATCTCCTCTGGTAGCTCATTCCTTACACGCACCACCTTCTGCATGAAAAAAGTTGCCTCTTAGGCCTCTTTTAAATCTTTCCCCTCTCACCTTAAACCTATCCCCTCTTTTAGACTCCTCTACCATGGGGAAAAGGCATTGACTATTCACCCTATCCGTGCCCCTCATGATTTTATAAACTTCTATAAGGTCACCCCTCAGCTTCCAATGCTCCAGGGAAAATAGCCACAGCCTATTCAGTCTTTCCCTGAAGCTCAAACCTTCCAACCCAAGCAACATCCTTGTAAACCTTTTTTGAACCCTTTCAAGTCAATCTGACATTGGCCAATATTATAGAATATTGATAATAGATTAGACATCCTTCCTGGCTTTGATTTTCAATGATTTTGCTCCCTTGGGAGAGCTTCATCAGTTTTGTATGCTTCCATTTTTAACCAAAATCAATATGACCTCATTTGGCTCCCGAATGGAGA